GACTTGTAACCACTTTATTTGACCATAATTCTTCAGGGCGAGCTGAGTTCAGCTAGATGGTTATTCTGCTTATTGGTAGTCTTTGATACAGCTTCTGTTGGCTTGAAGCTGGGCCTGTCTCTTGGTGTAGTTTCAGGGCTTTACCCTCTGTGTATGGTCTCCAGTAGGAAAACAACAAGAGTGTAAAAGCAGAAGCTGCCACATCTTAACACTTCAGCCCCAAATTGCCAAAGTTAAAGCACATCACAGGCCCAGCACAGATTCAAAGAGAGGTCACTACAGAAGGGACTGAATACCATCAGACACCATTAGGGCCTACCGGTGTTATACAATGCTATGACATACGGTCCCAGTTTTTTGCCCAAGTGAGATCTGTTCATAGTCAATGTAACTGGTTGTAAAGGTTGGTATCCCTTGTCCCACCACCTGAACCTGCTGCTGAGGGTGTGGTTTTTTACTCTTACAGTGTATACCCTGAAAGAGCGGTGCCTCCAGGTCATCCGAAGCCTAGTCAAACCTGAGAATTACAGACGATTGGACATCGTCAGATCACTTTACGAAGATCTGGAAGACCACCCAAATGTGAGGAAGGACCTGGAGCGGCTGACACAGGAACATTTTGAAAATCAAAGGATGGAAGAGGAGACTGAAGATTTCCATTGAAATTTGCACTCCTAAATCTCTGCCTTTGATGGCACTGACTAATCTTGATCCAAACAAAGGACTGGACACCTCTTCTCAATTTCAAGATGTCTCATTATTGGCGTAAACTGTGCTTCCGTGCTTTGATGGAGGTTAACTGACTTCACTACACATTGTGGGGTTTACAGGCAAATGTCACAAAATTCAGTTGAATAGCTGCTGTTTTTTAGAAGTATTTATCAGGAGAAAGTAGTTGTATTTTTGCCTCCTAGTCAGTCAGGAAAGTTTCTGTGTAAAGATTTTTATGTGAGAATTGCAGCATGTCCTTTGGTTGTAAGAAAGCAGTGGCATCTGCTTTGAATTAACTGGTTTTGTGTCTGCTGCCCTGCTTTGGCTAGACGGAAATGTCCTTAAGGCAGGGATGAGTCTTTCTCCTCTCTGAGACCCCAGTGCCTAGCACAGTCAGTGTGTATTGGCTGACGGATGCTGTTTTGTAGAAGATATTGGAGGTTTTACTTTCTTTTTTGGGTGAGGGTGGGGGAGGGCTTTAAAATGTATAGAGCAAACAGATGTTTTTAACAGAATCATTTTAATAGGATTTTGTATTATTTTTTAAACACTGCACTTTTCATTCTCTGTTGAGTCTTGTTGCAGGCTGTGTTCTGTTTCTAATCAAAACTGGCATTTTATAGTTATTGTGATAGTAGCTTTTTTGTAATTTGACATGTACACAGGAAAAAGGAGCAGTTAGTTTTTGTATTAAATTCCAGTGTTAAGGAGCTACTGTAGTGTAAATGAGTTTCTGCCAAGTGTGGCTATTTCTGTTCCTGTTTGTAAGTCCATGACATTCCATTTGATTCCAGAACTTTTCATCCGATGGGATCTGGTGACACTTCACCTAGCTGGAGAAATGTTCTATAAATAGACATATCCGATCTCATAGGCCAGACCTTGAGTTCTTGAACTCAAATTCAATACTTTTGTTGAAGTTCACAAAAAATTTGGACAAGAAAAGGAAAAGTGATCACTGTAGACATACAACTTAAATGCAGCCATGATTAACGTTTTGAACTGTTTCCTTTCAGACTTTTTTAGGGCATATTTTGGTTAATTTGTTTTTACATAGTTGAAATTATCCTGTACATATAGTTTTGTGTTCTGCTCTTTCTTTCAAGTCTGTAATATAAATATTTTCCATGTTATAAGCTTTATATAAGCATTAGTATAGTCTTTTATAATAAATGTTTGGGATATTTTTTGGCATCTCATAGTTTCTTTAATCACAATTTCTATGTTCTAAAGTCAGAGTAAAGTGAATGAAACAAACTCGTATAGTTCTTTTTCAACATTCAACAAATAAGTTGACCTTTGTATTAGCTTCCTGTAATAGTACTCATTCCATGGTTCACCTAAGTATCTTCATTTGTTCATTGAAATGTTGGGTAGGGGGGAAATGTGAAGGCAGGGAATCCCATGTGCTGAGATAGAAGGCAGTTCCAAAGCCAGGTGTTGTTGTTGTGAAGTGGCGTCGAGTTGATTCCGACCCATAGCGACCCTGTATAGGGTTTCTGAGGAGCAGATGGTGAGCTTGAACCGCCAACCTTGCAGTTCAAATGGCTTTGCAGTCTGGTGTGGCACTGTGGGTTAATGCACCAGACTGCAAAGCCAGGTGGTAGTTATGTGCCATGGATTCGGTTCTGACTCATAGCGACCCTGTACAGGGTTTCCGAGGCGGTAAATCTTGACAGGAGCAGAAAGCCTCATCTTTCTTCCACGGAACACTGGTAGTTTCAAACTGCTGACCTTGTGGTTCGCAGCCCGATTTGTAACCACTATACTACCAGAACTCAGGTAGGGTGGGGAATTTAAGGAAGAATGCTGGTGCTGGATTAATTCAATGTTGATTTTATCTTTTAGTCTGTCTTTGTAACAAAATGAGATTTCATGTTCTTCTTAAGAGACATACAGTTTTTATACTGTGTTTTGTGTTGTCTAAGGAAGATTGAAAACCTGTAGCATGAATAATGTTTTTCATTTGAAATCTTGTGGTTGTATTAAATGTACTGCACCTCAGAGACTGTGATGTCTCCTATTTTGAGTTTTTAAGAAAGCTGTTCTTTAATACTTACATTCAGTGGTGCTGAGTAAAGGCCTAGGCAAGCCGTGCTGGGTTATTTGAGCCAGGTGCTGCTCTAAGAGGTGTGAAAGTTGTGTCCCTTTAAAGGCATAAGGTGGGGAGGGAGAGCAAACCTAAGCCGCTAGCTTCATTCTCAGTGCCTTCTCTTTCTAAACCTAGGTTTGAAAAATGTTTATAGTTTTATTTTCCTTACAAAAATGAAATACCACAGCAAAAACAAGTTAATACAGAAAAATATCAGAAGAAAACATTCACACTGAGGACAAAGTTTTTTTCCCATGAAAACAGAACCCAAAAAAGGTAATGATTAGTATTTCATCAGCAATGACATTGAGAAGATGATAACAAGGAGAAGGCATTGATTGGGCTAGAAATCATTGCACGAAGGCTATGAAATAGATACCGTTGTCAACATCTGAACATCAGTGTAAACGTGTCAGTACTTTCATGTTAGGCTTCTATATTCAAATCTCAGTTCCACTTTAGGGTGGTCACTAGGCTGCCCGGATAACCGTCAGTATATACATATCTTTCTGATGGCACACCTAAACTCCCTGCTCCAACAAGACATTTTTCTGGGTAACCCTGTCACCCAACCCCAACACACACACTACTCCATTAGCAGATGGCAGAAAAATTAAGATACACTTGTGATGGTAATCGAAAGATTGGGCTGTAGCACTGGATATATAAGATAAAACCCACCACACTTTAGAATTTGGAGCATTAAGCTTGGAAAGTATAAGCTTAACATTTTACATAAGCAAAGCAATGTTCTTTCTCCTTAATCTTCAAGAGGAAAACACAGAAGATTGTTTTGTTCAAATTGAGGACAAAGAGTTCTAGGGGCCTGGGGCTGGTGATTAGTAGTAACAACAGCTGAGGTAACCGAAAGGCCTAGAGGAAATCATAAAAATCAAGTCTGTTGCTATCCAGTCGATTCTGATGCTTAGGGCAATTCTACAGCATGTTAGAGTAGAACTGTGCTCCACATGGTTTTCAATGACTGATTTTTAAGAAGTAACACCCGAAGCCTCTCTTGTAAGCCTTCTCTGGGTGGACTTGAACTCCCAACTTTTCAATTAAGCAAGTGTGTTAACGATTTGTACTACCCAGGGAGAGGAAACGTATGTACTGAACCATCCTACTTTGCAGGAGATTTAAGTAGGCAAAGGCTGACATCGTTTGCTTGGTGTAGGGGTGATATGAGATGGCAGAGTGATGCTTTGTCTAGATCCAACTCACACACTTCAAGAGCATTTGCTGCAGTTCTCTAGAAGCCCGACAGGAACCAAAGGGACAGCTGTTGACACAGCAGGTCTCTTTAACCCTGTCTTCTGTATGGAACTATTTTGAAGGCAGTCTGGTGTGCCTCCCAGAGCAGCAATTTCCCAAATCCTGGTTTGGTTTTCCTTGACAGACCTTTAGGAACTGTCTTACCCTTCTATGTTGTTGTTAAGTGCTGTCAAGTCGATTCTGACTCATAGCGACCCTATATAGGGTTTCTTAGGAGCTACTGGTGAACTTGAACTGCCAATCTTGAGGTTCAAACCAACCTTGCAATCCAGTGCATTAACCCACAGCACCACACCAGGACTCCTATGTTGTTGTTGTTGTTGTTAAGTGCCGTCGAGTCGGTTCCGACTCATAGTGACCTTGTATAGGGTTTTTTGAGGAGCAGCTGGTGAGCTTGAACCACTGACCTTGCTGTTCAAACCAACTTTGCAGTCCAGCACATTAACCGGCAGTGCCACACCAGGACTCCTAAAGATGCAGAAAAGTGGGGGAGTCCTTGATACTCAAAGTGTACATTAAGAGGAGACTGTCCAAATAAACCATGGTGGTCCTAAACAAGTCATTCAAAAACCCTGCATGGGGGAGAGTAGCCACATTCTACACATGGAGTCGAATGGCAAGGCAGCATGAAGCAGTCAGAAGTGCACACCGTTTATTGAGTACTACCACGTCCCAGGTACTGTTCTAGAAATAGGAAATATAGCGGTGAACCAGACAGACATGATCCCTGTCCTTAAGCGTAGATTATAATGAAGGAAGACAGTAAGCAAGAGGACAAATGATACAATTGCAAAATGAGAAAGGCATGATGAAAATTTGTTGTGTTGTTGTAAAGTGCCATCAAGTAGGTTCTGACCCATAGCTATCCTGTATAGGATTTCCAAGGAGCAGCTGGTGAGTTTGAACCACCGACCTTGTAGTTCAAACCAACTTTACAGTCCAGTGCATTAACCCACAGCACTATACCAGGGTTCTGTGATGAAGAGTAGGAAACAGTAATGTTGGGGGAGAATAACCCCTTATGGGGGAACATGTGCTTCTATAGAATAAGCACTGGAGTGTTAATCTTTATATTGACAGTTCTAGTTCACCAGCCACAACATAGGAAAAAGATGAGGCTTGCTGCTTCTGCAAAGATTTACAGCCTTGGAAAACATTAGACAGGGTGGCTATGAGTCAAAACTAATTCAACGGCGCTTAACAACCCCATGTTATGGTCATACTAATGGGTGACATTTAAACAGATTTGGAAGATTATTGGAAGATCAGTTTTGGATGGGATGTATCTGTCAAATGAACTTGCCCAGTCTGCATTTTCTTGCTGTTCTAGCTAATATATAAACTTCCTCATCTTGGAGGACCAGATATCACCCTAGGATCTTATCTTTGTTGGCATCATTGAATGACAGCATAGTAGCCACAAAGGATACTTCTATTACAGTTGGTTGATTTTAGCAGTGAAAATGAACATTAAGTCCTAAGTCTTGTCTTTTTTCCTTTCTCTAACCAGACATGGAGTCCTGGTGTGGTGCTGTGGGTTAATGCACCAGACAGCAAAGCTGTTTGAACTGCAAGGTCAGTGGTTCAA